ACCTTTTATACCTTTTTGTTATTTCCTTTAGGGGCGAAGCTTTTAAGTACAGCTTAATGCAAGATGGCCTGAGTAAGGTTTAGAGGAGATCATGGCCCAGTCGCCACATGAGGGAAAAGCCATTTCTGATGAATGCAGGAGCACACATACACTTGTTTTTTCAAATGCTCACGGGGAAAAATCAATGGGAACAACGACTCTGACTTAATTTGTTTATTCTGGGCACGGCAATAAAACATCGGTAACAAGGAAAGAATAATGGCCGACTATGTATCTTAACTGATTTGTAAGCTGCAAGTCATGGTATGCAGAATCCCGCTGGCAAAGGTGCCTCTCCCCGTGCTGTATTTATTTATTTTGTTTAACATCCCTTTTAACTTGGTCTGAGATTGATGGAGACATTATCTTGGACCTTGGAAGCTGTGAGCCATATTGGAATGACAAACACTTGTTGACAGCTTTGGGAAGATGGATGGAAAAACAAACTCTGACAAGGCTCACATGTTTGTTTTTCTATTGAGTCTTTAGAAGGAATGCTGCCGTCATTATTTAGCATAGGGAAAGAAAAAGCTGCACCTCATTATCAAATTCAGTATTTCTGTGCCTGACTTACAGACATCTCTAAAATACGCCTGCTTTTTGCATAGGGTGTAGTATGATTAAAGAAAGTAAGAACAAAAAGTTTATCACTTGGGCCAAGTTATATTTCTGTCCACTTTGGGTATCTGTGTCATTTTAGCTCACAAAATTCAATACTATCGTAAGTGTATATTGTTTATTAGAAGAATTATGCATATTTTATATCTGAGCATCATCTCTTCAGAGTAATAATAATTACTAATACAAAAAACGGTATAATATAAAAGTAAAAATCTCATAATAGGTGTCTAATAAATATTTCCCCATTGGTATATTAGTGCCCTGTATCTTAATCATGTGACTATGGGGGGGGGGGAATGATCCATTTACTATTCTATTAAATAGATAGAATTATTAAATTGATTTTCAAACTGATTATGAGACCAAGATTAGTATAAATTATATGTTTATATTGATTAATGCCTTTCAGATACTTAAACTAGGAATACTCCTTCTAGTTAGGCAAGCTATTTTATAGGTATGACATGTGTGAAATGAAATGATTTGGGGTTGTCAGTTTTACAGTAAGTTATAAATAATTTCACTACATTTTTCTGCCTGACATCTCCTACTTTCTTCTGGTAATAGAAGTTTTCTTTCTATGGAGAAAATGATACTTGTAGTTTGAGTTGGATACTGTGTCATGTTGTCTTCCCATCAGCACCCTTCCCATGCTCACAAGATAGTCACATCATCCCCTAGCCGTGATGCTTTATGGCCGTTCTGCACTTTTCTTTTGGAGCCATCAGGAATTAAAATTTCTTCTCGGGTTGCTAGGAGGAGGCCAGTCTGGGGCTGCCAGTGCCGTTTTTTCCTGTTTCATGGAACAAGCCTGCATGCAGGAATACACCAAGCAGATTCCAGTGGCAGGAGCCAGAATCCTGATAGCACATTTGATACTGAACCCAGTAATTTCTAAAAGCAAGTACAACCCTGTTGTGAGAGATAAAGCCCCATTTGCCTTGGAGCTATTGTAGTTTGAGTTGTTGTGTTTTTTGTACCATTTACATCCCCAAGAGCCAATTACTATAACAGATCTTAGGCTTGCTGGAGGGCAGGAAATGTGAAGGAGTACCTGACTGATGGGAAGAAAGATGGTGAGGTAGTGAACCTGAATAAAAAAGGAAAAAATTAAAATGAACAGGATTCCAAAAGAGTGATGGATTTTTATGAGGAAAAGAGACTGAAGGAAAAACTTCTTTTGAAAACATAACGTAGACAGAAAATAAGTTGTTTGTTGAAGGAAAAAGCACAGTATTATTTACTTGTTTGCAATACATTGCTCAAATGTTTGAAATTTTTACTGTCTTCATGTATTAGGACGTTGGAGGCAAGAGGTATAGACCCACATAAGGTTGGCTTAAACACAAAAGAGCAGACGTGGAGCCATGGACGCAACTTGACCCAAGGGATCAATGTTAAACCTCCTCCACTACCCCTGCATCCTGTTTAGTGGCGACAGGCAACCTAAGAGAAGGCAGGACATATTTTCCTGGGCTTTGGTTTGTAAAACCCCTGGGAAGGACTCAGAGTGGCCCAGTTTGAGTCTGATACCCACTTTGTAAACCTATCACTGTATCCAGACCAGGGGAGGGTGGGTAAGATGCTAGACTGTGTAGCCATTTGGGACCCAATGAACAGAGCCTTCTTAAAGAAGGCAGATCGAACACAAGCCTGGCCCCTGAGCCATTGTGGTCTGAGCAGCTGTCCAAATTGTGTTCACTACAGCATATCTGATGTAGTGAGGAAATATTAAAAAGTGGCAGAACAATATATTCTGAGAGTTGGTAATGCCGCACTTATGTTTTATTTTCCACACAAATAAAAGGAGTTTTACTCCGCTCCTGCAGAAGTAGGATCCAACAGTTGGATCCAACTGAAGTGATAATGCCATTATGAAAAGAAATTATTATAAAGCACAGGAAAAAAAATGTGAATAGACTAAAGCCAGCTGTAAGTTCTAAAATGTTTAAATTTCTCATCTAAATATACTATGCTTTATGTTTTGGAAATGTGGTTTAAATTTCTAAACCAAAGCAGTAAACCTAACTGAAAGGCATTATAGAAAATACATGAAAAACAGAATAAAGTAGCATGATGAGCTCTGATGCCTTGGTGCTAGGAAGAATTGTCAAGCCCTCACTGAAATGAACCATAAGTCTTGGTTAGCATGGTATTTCTACCCAGATGTTGCTTGTCCTGATAAATTTAAGCATTCATGGGAGTCAGAAGCTGCTGCCAAGTTGTGGCACCCTGAAGTTCAATTGCCACGTTCCAGACCTCAGTTCCCATCTTGGGGTGGCTGACTTGCCAGAAATGTAGGAAAAAATAATGTATTTTTTCATTCAGATGAAATAATTCATTGGACTCCGTGAACTAGGAATTCGCACTCACACACACATACATACACGCAGACTTGAGAACTGCCAAGATATTATTTATACAAGAGCTTCTGTGTTATATTAGATAGCACCTCACCAGCATTTAAATAATGTGATTTGTAATTGGAATCCTCATTTGTTCTGTGAAGTTAAATTAATAGGTCATGAAGGAAAGATTATTTCAAATACCTATAGAATGCGTTTGAATATTGGGGAAGGGAGGGAATATGAACAGACAGAACATTTTAATTACATGTGAATTGAACTAACTCAATAAGGAATATAGATTCTTATAGGTAAATAATTTTTAACACTTATAAATGGTGTACTATTTTTAAATCAATGTAATACAATCTGCAAAGCTACATGTATTATTGCACCAATGGTTCATTTAAGGAATTATTTCTTGAATGCCTATTTGCATATCTCTCTTTAACATTAAGACTATAACTTCACATATCTCAGGAAGCCTGCCATTTAGATCATTAGATAAGATGAACATATTGGAAAGTTAAATACTTTTAAATAGTGACACCATTGAAAGTAATAGAGAAGAAACCTGTATCAGTTAGGGTTTGATCAGAATGTTGGAACCACGATAAGTGATGTAACATGTATTATTGGGTTTGGGCCTGATGTGTGATGTGATGCTGGAAGTTCAGCTGTCTCTATAATGTTGTTGAACCTGGACGTGGTGCTGGCTTGATGTAAGCAGAGCCGTCAGTCAGGAAAGTAAAGCAAGAGCAGCCTGGAATCTGCAAGGAAGAGTTGAAACTCATGAGAACAAACCAGATCACGTGTCTGTCTCTCGAGCTTCCAAGCCTGCAATTTGGATGACGCAGGTGACCTGCAGAAGAGCTGGTGCACTTCACCATGGAGCAGCATGGAGACTTGGCCCAAGATTATGAGAAGTGGATGATATCAGGGATCTGCTGAAGCCCAAGGACATCTGTCAGGAGCTGGAAAGCCACAAGCCCAGTGCCCTTCCAAAAGCAAACCAACAGATCCACAATTGTGTATGAGCTACAATAGTGCCTGACCTTTCACCAGCTTCCCAAGGGTAAACACGGCTGCCTCTTCATTTCCACCTTGCTGATCTCATACAGGCTTCTCTTGTGGCTATCTCTAACCTGCAGCTGTACAGGAAAGGGGATTCTGGGCTAACTTGACGCAACATGGCCATCATGGTTCACCCCTGGTTGGCTTGGCACTCAGATGCACCTTTCAGTCATATTTAACTTCCAAATAAAGCCATAGCAAAACCATGTTTATGTCAAACACGGTGAAACGATCCCTCTTACCACCTGAAACAGTGGCTTTGAAGAATGCAACTGTAGGGGGCCAGCCGGGTGGCTTAAGAGCCTGAGCTCTGAGCAGCAGGGTTCCCGGTTTGATTCCCACATAAGCCAGTGAGCTATGTCTGAGCTGAGCTGCCAACAGGCGGCAGGATGGCTCAGCTGGTAAGAGCAAATGCTCTTAACAACAAGGTTGCTGGTTTGACTCCCGCATGGGAGGGTGGGCTGCGCCGCCCCTCCTCTCCTCGCAACTAGATTGAAACTGACGCCTAGACTTGGAGCTGAGTTTGCGCCCTCCACAACCAAGACTGAAAGACAACAACTTGACGTGGAGCTGATAGGTCCTGGAAAAGCACAGTGTTTCCCTTCCTCATTTCCCCAACACTGTTCCCTTCCCCAATTCCCCAATAAAATCTTTAAAAAAAGAGAAAAAAAAAAGAATGCAAGTGTGTATTTAACAAGTGGTTTTAAAAGTGGATAAAAGTGGAACTGTGTGTATTCCTGACAATTAATGTATATAATTTTTAAAATATGCCTCTCCCAGGAAATTTTCCTCTAAAGAGTATTAATTCGTATTATCAAAATTAAAATAAAATTTACCGCGGAAAAATTTGTAGGACTGAAGCAGAAGAATTGTTTCACTTTGTATTTAATGTTTTCTGTCTTTTTTCTAATCTTCCTGCAGTTTTTCGAGGTGCCATTTGATTCAAACATGAATAGGACAAAGAACAGACCTCTGGTTCGTGGACAGATCAGGTAAAATCAAGAATATTAGTCTGTTTCATGTTATAGAATGTTCATTTGTTTGTCCATCCTGAGTCATTTCCCAGTCTTCAGTTCTGAAGGGAAAATAACACCCCACCAAAGGGTTACACTGGTGTAACCCAGCATAACACAGTACTTTTCAACTCTGACCAAAATATACTACAGAGCACTGGAAATGGATCTGAGATTTGCGGTTTTGTTGTGGGAGTAACTCATGCAAGAGATTCCTTACTCAGTTCAATTTTGAGACGTGGACTGGTTTCACTTGGAGGGGCTAAAAGTAAAAGCATTCCATTAACACAGGTGATTTCACACAAATCCATGTAGGGTCTCAGAAGAAAGTTGCATCTGAAGCCTTGTTTTTTCAGATAAACTGATAATGGTGTTATATGCCAAGTAAATTACTGCCTCCATTCTCCTTTCCAACAAATTCAATTAAGTAGAACTAAAAGGCATATAAATATTTTAATATCACTAATGGTTAATAATTAAACATTTTACTTCCTGGAGGAGACCTCGAAACCAGCATTTAAAATATTTTTTTAATCCAGTAGATCTCATAAGCCGAGAAGAATAAAAAGAGTCAAATAGATTATACTACCGTATTTGCCGGCGTATAAGACGATTTTTTGGCCCTGAAAAATATGCCTCCAAGTGGGGGGTCGTCTTATACGTCAGGTACACTTCAGATAGACTGTCCATAGTGCTTGCCCCGTGCCATAGTGGTCTCCCGATGCCCGCCCACTTCATTCCACATACCGTTCAGGCATCAGCAGCGCTGCTGGGTGTATGCTCGGCTGTTA